TATAAAAGAAATACACATCCAGAATGATCTGCAACTACAACAAAAAAAAAAAAAAAAGAGAGAGAGAGAGAAAGAAAAATCAGAAAAAAGAAAAAGAATGTTAAAGCTGAGTCTTATCATCAGTTGTAGACCGATATAGTATCAAGATAGATTTAAGAGTGCTATTCCCACTGTTATCATCTGAGGGCCTGGTCCAAAGTATTAGGAAAAAAAACAGTATCAGACTGATCAGATATTCACTGTGAAAATTGTCTCTATAATATAACCTACAGAAAGCAGCGCCACAGAATTTGAATCTTGGATTATGGTTTTTTGGTCACTACAGTAAAAATACTTACAAAAGCAGTGGCTAAAGCAACCTCCACTGAGTGACAAACAGTTAGAATCTATTTAAAGAAACAAGAATTGTTCAAAAGCTACGTTTTTTTCTAATCAGTGTTATTTCACTTATTTGCTCCAGTCAAGTTCAGAATCCCTCTTATGTTTTGTGAATATTCAAGTCACCACAAAAATCAATTTCTTAACTATTTACAAAAAGTCAACATCCAAATCACACGGATGAATAAGAAGAAAAAGAGTGTAAAATATGTAGTTAGAAGAATATGCAAGTTAGAAGAATCCTGAAATCACCCTGTGAGAAAATTATTTTCAAAAATCCTATGATTTAATCAATCCTATGACAACTGTATAATTTTTATTCATAATAAACACTTTAAATGTATATTACAGCATTTAAAAATATTCATTAAAAGATATTATTTGAATATGCAAAGACCTATGCTTGGCAGAGTCTCCTCAGAATAATATACAGCATATGTACATTAATAATTATTAATAATTGACCCAGCGGTTTAGATAAGTAAGGCAAAAATTTGATCACGGGACATTAACCTCTTCAGTTTTGAGGATTTGTATCTTCTTCTACATTATCACACTTTGTAATGTACCTAGAGATGGTTTCATTTATCCATATGCTGACTTGATCTTTAAACAAAGAAAACCTCCAAATCCCTACTATTAAGCTCTTGGTTTCAATCATATCCCATATCCATGAGTTTGATAGGTTAATGTATTATTTTGTCAAATGTATATCACTTTATTAGCTCATGAGCTGGTTGCCCTTCAATTTTTTTGTTGCCTTGGTGCTCTATTGTTATTCAAAATGGGAAATGAAAGTGCCCAGCTTACCTTCTGTGCTTTCATTCACTCTTCTGTTTACTTCATGTCCCTATCACAGCTTCGCTAAACTAATTAGCACTAAGCTTTTTATATGTCTTTGCAGAGAAGTATTTTCAGTGCTTCTGTTGTTATGCTATAAGAAATGAATAGGCTGACTAGAGCAACATGGTGATACGATTTGTGTAATGGCTATTTTTAGTGTATTCCTTTTTTTTTTTTAATCTGACATTTCTTTTCCTGTTCGTTAACTCTGTACATTGGGGGATACTTTTCAGGCAATAGTTCTGTGGTCTTTTTTTCTTATGAATGCAGGAATTGTTCCAATTCCTCATGATAATATTCATTACCTTCCTAGTTTACCTTTTCTAAGGTTCCCCACTGAATAAGCCCATTGGAACACAGTGCAGGGATCACCAAGCAGGCGCAAACTTAAGCAGATACACTCGCACAGCACAGTAAAAGCTCCACGTAGAGCTGCCAGTTTACATTCATAACTCCCGAACCAGCGGCACTGTTTGAGCTAGTAAGTTCTCCCAGAGACTCCACTGTGTTGATGCTGCTTTGTGGCTTTCAATTCCAGAGTGAGCTAGCTCAGAAGCAGACTGGGTTTTCAGGAACGTACTTCACTAAACAGTATGGATCTAAATAGTCTATTATAGATTTGATTGAGCTAAATAGTTTTATTTCATCTGCAAATACTACCCCTTTGTTTTCATTTTCTTTTCTAGATAATTGATGTTCTAAACTCTCTTGGTCTTCACATAGGATGAGAGGGAACTGCTTCTGCTAAGATGCTACATTTATCCTTATGATTTTTTCTGTCTCAGACACTCAGAATCTAGTAATGCTTTACCTTGTGACAACACTTGCTTACGTTAGTAGCTTCAAAGGCTTTTCTGACAGTTCAAATAATATTGATTAATTCTCATCCGCTCTATCAGAATCGTAACAGACTGAAGATCTATCTGTTCAATTTTCCAGCACAGATGCCAGCTAGCATGTTTCTAAAACCTTTTAGTGAGAATTTTAAGCCTTGTACTAAAGTTTCTCAGTAGGCTCTAAAAGTACAACGATAAACACTTCTGACATTCTTTGGTCACTAGCTTTTCTTCAAAAACAAAAATTACTGAAACACATGGTCCACTGACTTTGTCCTATTTGTTTTTGCCAGTTATTTAAAAAAAATCCTCCTTTGTCACTTAGTCTCTCATACTTATAGAAGGTTACCTGGCATGGGCAGCTTTCTAGAAATCTTTCTTTCCTGCACACTCTCATCTCTCTCCTTGGTGAGACCAATGCACAGGAACTACTTAGCCTCTCTGCAATGCCCTTGTCTTCACTAATTGCAGCTCAAGAGACGCACCAATTCTCCTGGGCTTACTACATCTGATATCTTAAAAATTGTCTATATTTATTCTCATGCCTTTGGTTATTTGCGCTAAGTTGTCCCTCTCATCTTTCTTCATTTCCATCCTGAAGTCTACCCGCTAGATCTTATACTCTTTTCTGATTGTTGTACTTAACAATCTTTCTCTCTCTCTCTCTCTTTTTTAATAAAGACCTGTCAAGATCAAATAGCTTTTGCATCCTGCAATATATTTTTTCTTTATCGCTGTTTTCTTCTTCACACAGCAGCTTTCATACATGCTCGAATTTTTCTCATACAACATTTCTGCTAAATATGAAGGTTCAGTTTTGTTATTTTTTGAATCACTTATAAAAAATTATTTTTCTACTGACATACTATTTTTGATAAGATCTTTTTTGCTAAGATGTTGAATTTAATTTTATTACAGTTGCTCAACTCAGTGGCTCAACTCAGTGGCTCAACAAAAGTCCCTTCCTGAGTCCCCTTTCTCTTATGTATTCCTCTTGCCCTGTTCACTGAATACATTATTAATAAGGAATTTTTACTCATTACTACAAATATTGTGTTTATTTTCTTTTCCTTGTCCCTGTTACTCACTATACAATTTTAATCTAAAATTTTACTAAAAGAAGTATCAAGTAAGAGAAAATAGAAGAAAGAAATATTACCCTTGGTTTTGTGGTAGTTTTAGCTTTCAGGTTCAAAGAAATAAAACAAAACTAAATCTAGATTCTCAAGTGCAGATTACATAATACCACTCATTGATATCATTTTGTCTACTGCCAATGTTTTTCCTCTAGTATTTTATGCTCTTAGACCAGAAAAATATAAAATATGGACCAATGTGTAAAGAGATTGTTCAACAACACTATTAGCTAAAAAAAATTTAAGACCCCTAAACTGCAAATAAAACAAATGTGTGTTTCTTTGTTATTTGAAATAAAACTGCCAGGCCTGGAACAAAATAACAGAACTACTACAATGGTAGCTCTAGACACCAGAGATAATCATCTTTGTAATGTACATATTGAATCAGAACATTCTTGTGATTAGCCCAATGCTCGGGAACTCAGAATTTTTAATTGAAGTTATAAAGATGAAATTAATACTGCTAGATTATGAGTTAGTACCAGAAAATATTTCTAAGGGGTGAATGATAGGAAATCAGTTAAGGAAAGACAGAGCCATGAGCCATTAAGACCTAGATAACCGAAATTTCACGTTGGTCTTTAGAGTTTGACCAAATGATTGACATCTGACATTTTAGCCTACACAAAGTATAGCTAGTTTTTGTTTTGTCTTGTTTTCTAAAAGAATGGCTCCCACATCTCAAAAGTGCTGTTAAAATTTACAAGCTTTCAGTAAACCAAATCTAAAGATTTGCAAGACTGCCCCTCTGAAGGACTGAAATACCTGGACAGAGCTAATTAAGAAGAGAGGAAACGAGAGAGGTCTGTGCTGAAAATGATCTTTCACAAACACAACTGAAAATCCCCTTTCTTAACAACTAAATGCTTTGGAATTAAAAATAAATAAATAAATACCACCCACACGGATTCATTTCTTTTCCTTATCTTCTGTCCTAAGAGACTATTCTTGTTTTAGGAAGGGTCAGTATTGCAACGTTAATGTCCTTGGCTTATTTGGATGAAATAAGCACCATATACCCTTGAAGTCAAGGAGATCAAGGTCTCTCAGAAAATACAGAAGGCTAGTAAGTAGAATGAAAAACTTATTAGCTCAAAGTATTACTCAAGGATTCTACATCTGTCTCAGAATCCAAAATGAATTATGAAGGTCTTTTTGAGATCTGTCACACACTTTCATGCCACCCAGCCACCATCAAAAGGTGGGGCTAAAGAGGTAAGATTTCAGAACAAGACAGAAGGCCCTGAGTAGCACTGACAACAGTCAATACTATGCAGGCTGAAAGATGATCAGGCTAAGGCAAAAAGTTTCTTCTTCCTTCCAAATTCTTAATGTTAACTTTGTAAATAGTTACTTCAATAGAACACACATACTGATTATTCATGAGATACTACTCAGTAACATAAAGAAGCTTCTAAAACCATTGAAAGAGAACGTTTTCTTGACTTAATTTTATTCTTAAAACTGTTAGTCTGGCAATGTCTATGTTTACACTGTCTATTAAAAGCAAACTTTGAAAATAACTCAGCTTCAGAAAACAAAACTGAACAAATCCTCCCCACCCAACACTATCAGCTGATGCTGTTTTACTGACAATCACGTCACACTAACAAGAATCAAGGTCTTGTCTTTTTTAAAAGCACTGCATAATGCCTTCTTCACTGGTGCCTGAATACAAGGGAAGCCATTTTCCGCATTGCTTCTAACATTGTGTCTGTATTATTCCTGCTATGAATAGCAGAAAGAGCTAACTTTTATTCCTGCAAAGGGAAGACTTTCATATAGCCTTTTGAATAGTACTTACTCAAATATGGTGGTTTGTAAGGCGCTCGTGTATTAGACAGCAGTCCATCCAACTCCTTCCTCTCCAGAGTGCTGTGAAGGGCCTTCTCTTTGCCGAAGGTAGAGAAGGACCTTTCTGCCCCAGGCTGGGCTTCTGGTGTTTCAAACACTTCAGTGTCTGGAACAGAGTCCATGCCAGGTACGTGCAGATTGCTGCGGTAATCCGCAGCTTGGCGTCCATCAGACGGAACGAAGGAAGGCATCCAGCACCGATCTGAGTGGCCCAGTGCTTTACATTCCTCCGTGCAATTGGAGAAGAGATCCATGCCTGCAAGCATGAGAAAAAAAGAAACTACAGATATATGCTTCAGCATCATAAACAGCTGCTGAGAGATAAGAAAGATCATGCTGAGAGAAAAGAGAAGTAGGAAGAGAAATCTCCTAAGAACTTTTTCCACTACCTTCATCTCCTCAACAAAAAATCTGATTGTCCAGTCTTCGTAATTCAATGACAACATTTAATAAGCACATATTAATGCCTGAATGTCATACAAAAAAAAAAAAATCACTACAAGAAGGATATTGATGATTCTATCACATAAAATCTCTTGCAGATCTTACTGTTTAGACTCCATTCAAATAAGGATTGATTCAACTTGCACATGATGGCTGTGGGTCAGCAGTTGAAAATAATTGTTTAAGATCCTGAAGGAACTGGTTTTTAAACATATCTCTGACCAAAGAAACGAAATGTCCTGATGGAGGAATCGCAGATTTCATTCATGAAAATGAAACATTAGGTTTTCCTATAAAGGAACTATCTGTGCATACATTATTACGCAGATATGGCCTACTGCTATTAACAGTAAGTCATATAAAGTAGAAAAACAGCTTTTAAATGATCAAGATGACTTAATAAATTAATCTTTTCATCATTCTTTCAGAGACAGTTTTCATTGCTACCGCAGCAGTCCTTGCCATCATCAAGCCATCCAAATAATGAGATAGAATCCTATAGTAAATTACTGTAATTAGTGGTACAAAGGTAGCTGGAAGTCTGATGTAACGTGGCTGTGGATACTATTGACAAAATTGTTAATACTTCCCCTATATCAGCACACACTTGCTCCTGCCAACACAAAACCGTTTGCTTACAAATCCTTTAATGCTATTAAGATTTCAAATGACAAGCAATATTCCCATTGACGACCTTCAGACTGGCGTTACAATGGAGTATTTCCTGACTTTGATTCACTAAATCATTGGATTAGGCTTGAGAGAAATGGTGTATGAAATCTTTGGCATAGAGTAAAACAAATACTAACATCCCCAAGCTGATATTCAACAATATATATAAGAGCAGAAAAGTACAGAAAAATCCTTTTCTTGTATTTGTGAAGAGAACTGGATGACTTAGAATAGGTGTATGTGAAAACTGAATTAAATCTGTCACAACTATTGCATTCACAAGCATTGCATTAGAATTACAAAAAAGCCACAACTTGCAAGAGAAATAGAAAAAAAAATTCAGTATCTGTAGTAAGATTCATGTAATGTAGCTTATTCACCAGCCAGCTCTGTAAAGAACTTGAGCTGCTTGATCTCCAGTGTGAGGATTACTATCAAGAATTCTACCACTGTTCTGAATCATAATTTGATTTATGTTAGTAATATTTATGTGTCATCTCACACTACAGAAAACAATCTCTTCAGCAAGCAGGAATCTCTCTGAGTTATCAAGTACTTACGAACTGAAGGCAATCACTTAGGCAAATAGAAAAGGGAAAAAATGAAGAAAAAAGGCTTTTTCTCTCAGATTAATCTCACTTTATAATGACTTTTTAATTTTAGATTAAATGATATACAATGCTAGGTCCAGTTTCGATTATAACCTTGCATTGATAATTGGTATTCAGAAGTCTAGAAATAAATTACCGATCAGTGAACTGTTGAAGAAGGCAAACGTGAACTGCAGATATGATGAAGGAATCAGATGAAGAACGGCATGCAAGACATACCAATTGTACAGTTTTAAATTCCGTGATAGTAGTATCTATCACTGAAAGATCAAATGCTGAAAAGAAAGGTTTACATGCAGGCATCCAATAAATGAATATGTAGCAATACCTATAAAATGGTGTGTGCATGTGTCATATGTATAAAACTGTTTGAATAAAAATGTCTCTTATGCAAAAAAGACATTTTATAACTCAAGCCTTTTTGCCATTCAGAAGATTTAAGTGACAGTTAACACAAAACAACTTCTTCACTTTCAAGATTTCCTAGCAAAGTTGCATGTAAACAAGCCTTATTTTTAATAGGAAAATGATTACAGTTACATTTCACTAACAGTGTTTCAATGACCATGTTCATTTAACATTTCTTGAACTTGAAAAAGAGCAGGGGAAAGACGGAAAAACTTGTGGATAAATATTAAATTGTATTCTTTTGTCAGTGGAGAAGGATAATGTAAGATATTTATTCAAGGATAAACCCATTTTTTTCTTCAAGGATTTTTATTTCCCCTGGAAAATTACCCTCTGTTTTACTATTTTGGTTTCACATCAGCTGCTAAACTGCAAAATGTCTCTATCCAAATATTATTTTTTTAGTTCCCTTCTGAATTCTGTTTGTCTACTGCAGTGCACTGAATGGAATTATATAACAGCTTATTATAAAAGAGATGTTATAGCCACCATAAATCAGGATTTTGCATAAACAAAGTAATGAAAGTAGAAGATATAAAATGTAAGCTTGTATGACAGACTTCTTCCCTCCTTGAAGAACAGGGGAACTTCTAAAAGATAAAAAAACTGAAGTGTAATATCCACTGCTGGAACACAGAGCTAGCATGTGCACGCCTGTTTAGGATTAGAACAGAATGTTCAGAGAGGACTAGGCTGGATTTTACTCCGACTTGAATCAAGCACAACATTCCTTAAGAGTTTAATGGGTGCAGAATCAAGCCCTCGGCCTTAGTATCTTGAGAGAAAAATAAATTCAAATTATCACTCTGACTTTGAAATCCCTGGGCGCTTATGTATATTTTCAGTGACTACGATACAGATGTGGGCAATTCTCCCTCACCTTTTTACTGTGGGGGATAGTATATCATTCTGTTTTTAATTCCAAAAAATGGAAAAAAGCTATTTTCTATTTTCCAAAAAGGAAGGATATATTATGGCAAAGGAAGTCAGACATCCAGCGCAGGACTCCTTCATACGCCAAAAATCATATTTGGTTATATATATAGTCTTTCTGAATTAAACTATCCATCATAATTGCAAATCTACATTAAAGAAAAATGCTTTATATTTTTCATTTAGTTACCATATTAGACCTTACATGCAGAAAAACCGAGATTTTAAAGGTGACTCTGAATCACGAATTTCCAATGTCCTTCTCAGATACAAATAGATAGTATAGAATACTGAAGTGCTGAAAAATGATAAGTGCTGCACTATTCTAAACGCGGCATACATATAAAAGCTCATGGCAAAGGCCATCAGTTCATTACTAATCGCGCTTCATTCAAGTCTTATGACTACATAGGGCAGTCAGAAACATGACCTTGCAAATTTTGAAGGAAAACAAGCCCTTGCTCCCCCTCACCAACGAAAAACTAGGAGTTAAATATTAGATTTTATATCTATATCTGAATTTCCTGAATTCAAGTGCTTTGAACAAGATACTTAAGTGTTGCATTTCTAAACCATATTCCTAATTTGTTTCCTTTTCATAATTCAAAAGGAGAAAAATCGAAATTTCTATGTGCATGAATTCTAATTGATTTGAAAGACTATTCAGATCAAAGAGAAAATTAAGCCTAAAATAATTTTTAAATAACTCATTCTTTCTTAATTTAATTATGGGAGAAGAGCCATACACCGAGACTTAGACTAATGAGTGAACATGTTCCAATATATTACTGAATAAATAATGTAATAAATAGCACTAATACAAGTAAAATGTTGACAAAATATTTCCATAGTATTGTTACTGAGAGGTTTTTTTTCCCAAAATGTGCCATTTTCTTCCTAACTTTGGCTTTTATTTAGAATTAAATGACACTTGCCGTTTCTCCTGTGATAGCTTTCTAATGGTTTAGATGGGAGACGAATGTGACTTAGGGAACCAGGACTCCTGCTCAGAGTTCCGTTACCAGATCAACCATCCATTTGGTTAAATTACCTATGAGCTAGTTACTCATTTCCCTGTGATTCATGTTTTCTGCCTACAAATGAGGATAATGATTTTCACCTCCTTTGCAGAATACTGTATCTACTGAAGAAAATGGACTTCCTATGAAACAGTTACTACCACTCCTTCTTACTAAGTAATTGCTGTGCTGCCTTGGATAAAGCTGACTTCATCTGCATGAGAACATGAATAAAGACTTAAACATCTTCGATATTCAGCTCTTCCAAATCTTAATTTCAAAGCCCTATCTGGACCATTGAGATGTGAACATTATTAAGCATGCAGCCTAAGGAAAGGAAAAAAAAAAACGGTCAGCTAGAGTCAAAGGACTCTTCTAAGCCATTTTTATGTTCACTCTCATTTTACCCAAGATAGACTCTTAGCACAAGTGATCTTCAAAACAGGATTTGGCTGTCACTCTGCATAGGCTCGGAAGGAATACTGGTTTTCTGTCCCTTCATCACTAAAATTTCTCTTTTGACTTCTCAGATTTTTCTTCTCATGAACACTGAAATATCATGGCATACATCTCAGCAGTAATGCAAGCTAACCCTCTTGCTTTTGGCTACAGCTGTTCTGAAAAGGTGCGAAGCAATGTTTCAGCCTGTGCCTTCATGAGAGACCCCTTCAACTCCCTTCATAAAGCCCACTAGAGAGAGGAAGTCCAATTTTAGATCTTAGCCTATAACGGATGCATACTGCCCAGTATTGCGCTGAGTAGGTTGCAATATAGGTTGATGCATTTTACAGTACATACATTACAGTACATTTATTTATCTTCACGTTAGATATTCCCTCCTCAAGTGTATCTGAGTGATCACGCCAATTCAGTGAAAAGAGTGAAATAAAGATAATATTGTAAAGAACTCTGCATGTCTGGAGTGAAAAAGCAGAGTAACTAGTGACCAACCACACAAAATAAGTTGACAGCACGAGTCCAAATCTTAAAGGACCAGTGTCTAATCCTGTGATTTAAATATATACACATGCAGAGTATTAACTGGCACCCAAGTTGGCAATTTCAGAAGAGAGGCCAAGAATTTAATCAACCATGGGAAATAAACTAACCTCCTGCTTAGAAATGACTTCTACAGAACATGATTAAAATACAGCGTGTTAATGATAGGTAGTAGTGTTGTATTAGTTGCATTTGTTCTACAACAGCAACAAAAGTAATAGCTTTTGTCTCCACAATTTTCAGACGGAGAAGAGCACTAGAAAGCGGGGCACCAGTCTGGGATTTGAGAAACCCCTTCCTCCTCTGTTTGTCGAAAACTTCTTGCATGACCTCAGGAAAGTCATTTTCCAGAAAGTTCAGGTTCCTACCCCAGCCAATGAAATGCCTAGTCAATCTATAAAAATTAAGCTCCTGAGTGCTTTTGAAATCCCACAACTTGCCATTCTCCATCAAATGTAGACGACAGTCCTTTTGCAGTTCACGAATATTAAGGGAGGTATGTAGGTAGATAACCAAGAGGAATTCTGGTGCCACCTTAATAGGAACAATATGAACCACTTACATGCAAGCATTCAGTACATGCAAGCACTTTTCAAGCCATGATTAAATCACTGTTAAGAAAGTATATTCTGTAAAAAGGGAACCAGATTCTTATTTCAAAACATAACAATGCATTTTATGGTAGTTACAACAGGTCAGCTCAGACTTCTTCCTAAATGGTTGCACAGGATAAATCTATGACACAGTAATAGATTTTCATCCTGTATGTTTTTCTTCCATACTAGTAATTCATCACGACTTTGACAGTCAGCTTGACTAACAATGGACTACTGTAGAATAGCTGCTTGTATGCCATAGGACTATTTGCTGGTGAGAAGAAGAGAAGTCATGCACAGAACAGTGAAAAAATGTTTTGCAAGCAGAACACGTTGCTGATGAAAATTGGTGAGGGGTAAGTTTCATTCTGCAACGTGAATTGTCTACTAAATATTTCCGGAAACAAATACAATGCTCTTGAAAACAAGTATGATGCTGCATGGTGTCAGGTAAAATCTTGAAAAAAACAGTTCAGCATTCTGCCCTGCTATCAACCAGAATGTTTTCCTTTAATTTAGATAGAATTGATTACAGAACATCAAAACAATTGAAAAATTGAGAAGGCACTCCCTCAGACGTTTCCTCTAGCCATTCAAGACCAAACAAGACTTACTCTCATCTTTTCACAGAATTTATCACCACATACTAATAGCAAGAGTGAAGTTTTTATAACAAAAATCACTGTCTTGTCATCACTGAGGTCAAAGGGCACATTGTTTCCTCTGTGACAGTAGGATTCAGCCCCAAAATTACTGGAAAAATGTACTATATGTATCCTGAAAATTGGAGTGCTTTCTTTAGAGATTTCTATCTAATTATTCATTTAAAACTAGCATTTAAAAAATTGTTCATGCAAATTATTCTTAAAGCACTGCAACAATATATTAATTTGGAAGACCTGTGCGTTTGAGGTTTCAGTTCAAACTGTTAATTATGAGAAGACCAATTCTAACTGTTAGCTTTCATTAACTCATACGTAATTTCCATTTAAGATACAGAAGTCCATAAATCACATGAGATTCTTTAATGATTTGAAATTATTTTAAAAGTATGGACTAGATATTTTCCTAATGTAATAAAACAGAAATAATAAAGAATTTACCCAGATAAAAACTAATGTTAAGTCTGAGAATAGTTCCAATGTTCATATCTGAGATGGACTACTTTTAAAATGCAGAGAAAGAATAAAGAGGAGAAACATAACAATAACAACACTGGATGCTTCTAAAATAAAATAGATTTCAGTTGATGTGCAACTGTATGATTATATTCCCACCATCAGCCCCTTCTGCAGATGTTTATTCTTTTCTCTCCTGTTTGGTTATTATGGTTCATTATGTTGAGGGACTAAACTGATTGAAATGTTCACTGAGATGACTGCTGCAGTAAAATGCGTAAAAGAAAAAAAAACATAATGCAGGCAGGGCAGGAGGAGAGGGAGCTTTTTATAACTCAGTAGCACTGATTGCTGCATCAGAAACAGTGCAAAAGAATGGGCGGGGGGAGGCTAAATACACGGCTTTTTAAGACAACAATAAATCATACGCCATATATAGGCCAAAAATGAAAGAGGCTCTGTGTTCAGATGTAAACTTCTGGCAAGACCTGGTTTGTTGTCAGGTTCCCAGACACAAAATAGACACTCTGTTCACTTAGCATGAAGCCCTGCAAGAAGCAGGGAGCTCCGGAGACTCTTGGCTCTTCTCGAGTCTCATTAGGTCTGCATATTAATGACTTGCAGCAATATAAAGGGGCCCTGTAGCAGACTCCTTTTCCCCTGGCGCCTGGGTTTCCCACCGTTAAGGGGACAGTGACTATAGCAGCAAGAAAATAGAGGCTGTTAACAGAGCAAGTGGGTGAGACAGCACTCAAGTAAAGATGGGATGGGAAAAGATGGGATCAGGAAAAGAAAAGAATGGAGGACTGGAGAAATTCAGGCATCATTTGGTACAATATTCTTGTAGCAAATCCCAGTACATGACAGAGCACAGAAGGAACAAGGGACAAGAAATCACTGTATTGAATCAAGACATACCAATACCAAACCTTTGTACCACACCTACTGTGGTAGGGAAGCACACAAAAGCGTTTCTGGCCAAAATGTAGTGCGAGAGTGATAAGGAGTTGTAATGCACAGACACTAGATAAACGTTCTTTTGAAAAGAAAACTGACAGTAGGAGAGCAAAGACAGCAAGCCACATACATAGGAACAATACTGGAAATTATACGCTTATATATGATCCAAATCATGATAACACCATGATTTTAAAGTAAAGCTTTTAAAGTATCTTTCCTTCGTTATAACTGAAAGAAACGTACTTAAGAATATCTTATGCTCATTAACATGGAGATCACTTATACTATATGTCCCCTTAATTTGAATTAAAAAACAATCCTCAGAAAAATACTAAGGTATTACACATTCAAAGCACCCAATGTGTCTCCACTGATCCCCAGCAAAAATCCTCATAGTCTGGCTGTCATTCAGCTGCTGGGTTCTTTTTTTCCCTTGGGAACTCCCCCCTTCACTTCACACTGCCATGCCAGCCAAAGTCTCCACTGAACAGAGTTGCCTAATGCTTTGAAATCCTGCAGATCTGCTATTGAAAAAAAAAAAAAAAACACACTGTAAAACGTACCAAGAACTTTGTTTTACTGCACAGGAAGTTTTGCACAGCCAATGATGCAGAATAACATACTAAAAATGCCAGAACCAAAAGAATGAAATAAACTCTGTTCCTTGCAAAGGGTTCAGAACCATCTCCTTGCCCAGGTTACCCTAGCAGTAAGCTGACTTAAAACCAACTCTCCACAGAATATGCTCACATTATTTTATGCCACTGTTGTATTATATTCCTCTAGGTGACTGCTCTTTCTTTTAAAGATCTACAACTTACATTCTCTTATCAGACTTACCAGAGGATTGACCTCGATTAGTGGCATCGTGATCACTGTCTCCTTGCTCACTGTCTCCATGACCACTGTCCTTAGAGCTTACTATGTCTGCTTCCTGGAATGCAGAACTAGACACAGAAACATCTTTACATTAGAATAAACATGAAAGAGGAACTCATAAAACATTCTTCTGCCATCCCATGGCCAAACACGGTGCTGCATTCACCCACTCCTGCATGCTGCACTGCTTCTGCTGAGCCAATTTGTCCATCATAAACAAAACTTTTATTTTCAGACATTAGAAATCCAGCTGAAGCAGGCAGTAGCCATTATTACTCTGCCTCGATTTGATGTAATTGTTTTGAATAATTTGGTAGCATTTACTTAAGCTGGATAGCTAAACTTTCACTCAGAGAGGTCAATATTATCTGGCGGAGGCTACAGAAGGATTCCTAAGTATATTAAACCACATTTTAGACTAATACAAAATGAGATTTTGCTCTCTTGTCAGATGGCTTTGAAACAGGTTCAGAAAAGTCATAATTCCAATTTATTTAGTTGACAGTGTTTTATTTAATGTCTACATACATTCATTTTCCTGTTGCTTTACTACTATTTTACATCTGCAGTAAACACATTTTGGCATCCCATTCACACTTGCTAAAGCACACATTAGCAAAACAAGAGTAAGGAGCTCATACCTGTTTACCCGTCGGGGTCTATCAACTAGATAACTGAGCTCCGCACGCTGATGTTTTGTCTGGAAAAAAGAAAATTTGGAGAAACATTTGAATTCTTGGTATTTTTGTACCCAGCACCCGAAAATACACTAGAGCAGCTCACCAGATTCACTATAAATAGGAGTGTTTAGCAACAACTAGGCCTACACAATCTTTTTCTAGAACTTGAGGGAAAAAATCAAACTATCTACTTTATTCCCACATATGGGAAAGCATCAGGGATTTCTTCTGAGTTCTTTGGGAAGAGATTGTGACACTTTTTTCTCCCTCACAGTGCATGCTGTCAAACATCACAAGGACACCCACAAAAGTCAACAGACCTATTTCTGGAGTTGCATACTACTGACTCAGAAAAACTTGGTGTAATCTGGTGTTCAATCTGTTCTTAACTCCAATGTATAAAATGGAGGAGACAGTATAGTTATTGCACTCCAAGGAAAAAAATACGCTGCGATACCCTCTAGCCCTCAAAAAGGCAAGAGAAGACAGAGTTTTACATACAGTTTCAGGCAGGGTGAACATGACAAGCCACAGTATTAAAAGGTCTTACTGTAGAACTTAAACAGCTTTAGAAAATACCAGTGAAACTACCTCAGTCAGAGCAGACAGTATTCAGGTTTCAGTATTAGACGTAAAGAAGGACTGTTTTTTTCCTTAGCACGTAAGCACAGAGGTACCGAGAGCATGTACCAGCTAGCACAGTAGAAAATGATTAGCAGGGGAGTATTATGAGATAGCCTATGCTTTGGTAGAAATTCTCTACACACTAGATAACACAATACAGACAACATGTTTAACAAGAGGGGACATTAAGTCTCTGCATATAATTTCATGGAAATTCTTTCTTGATGTTTTTCTTTGCGAACTCCGCTTTGGGTTATAAAGAGCTGTTCAGACAGAGTACAGAAAAGTCAATTAATAAAATCTAATTCGCAAATTAATTAAAGTTCCTGCTAACTGTAGAGATTTTCACAGTCCCAGAGGGGGGTTCCCCCAAAGCCTTCTTTTCCCACGCAAAGATGTCAAGAAGAGAAAAAAAACCATAAGACTTAAATTTTCTGCTTCGGAAATGCCTGTGACCATTCTTCATGTCATGTCACGAGCAAAGCAACGCGCTACCCCGCCCCGCAAAGCACAAGCAATATCATTTGCAGCAAACGGCTGAGGACGCTGCTGGGCTGGGC